ATGTCAATACAATATCATTTGAGGATGAACTGGTTATTTTAGATTGTAAGTTAGTCATAATATAATACTATTTTTATATTAATATTAAATAACTTTCAAATTATAGATGTAGATTTAGGAGAAATGCAAAGATGATATGGGGAAATTCAGTTTCCATCAAAATTTTGACGACAACCAATGGCAAGTACTCCAGCTGTGGTTAAATTCAAGATTCTTGATGATTTGAATGATTTAGAATTAGGTATATTATTTTTGATTTATTTCCATTCATTATTTTATAATTAATAATATATTTTCTTTATTTCTACATAGAGAATCGAACGTTAAAAGAAAAACTTGCTGAATTTGTCAAGAGAATCAAAAATTAGAGCGATAAAATTCTGATCTCTTGAGAGAAAACTGATTTCTTGCCAAAATAAATGAGAAATTTGGCAAGAAAAATAAAGATTTACAGGAGAGGTAAAAATTCGTATATTAATATCCTATATTTACAATAACTAATTTTTCTTTTTTAATATTTAAGACTTGACCAATTTGAGAGATTATGACTGCTCAGATCATTAAAGCAGTCTGATGCTGATCCTTCTGCAAAATGAAGGAAAATCAGAAAATCATCATCAAAATTAAAAGGAAAAAGCTAGTGCATTGTACCGATGATAAATTAGAATCAACACAAAACAATTCTAAGGACGATGATAATTTGATAACAGAAGAGGCTAACATAAAAGAAGCCAGGATATGTTTGAATTTATATCTAAATAATTTAAATTTTAGCTGATTTTTTTTCTGCTATTCATATTTAGGCTGAAATGAAGGCAGTTTTAAAAACTATTAGCTTAAAGGACAATTTGGACTATAATAAATCTTTCAATAATGAGAAAAATGCTGCATTACATCATAGTATGATTTTAGAATTACGAAAGTCCTTAGCTCCAAATTTTCAGCTTCTGTTGATCAACTTATAAATTGGCTGAAAACTCTTTATATATCACGTCAGATAGCTTGAAGAATTAAGAAAAGTGGAAAGAAACCTTCAGAGCTATGACAAATTCATAATAATAATCGAATATATAAAATAAGCAAATAGAATATATTATTCTGAATTTGGGTCTATTTGAATCAATAATTTAATATTATTTATTATTTATTAGAAAACAGCTCAACGAGTAAAGGCTGCAAAGTATTTGTTTAAAGAAAATAACCAATAAATTGCGAAATACGAAAGGTGACCTTTACTCTGAATTCTTAGCGATCGCCTATATCATTCACTAGAAATAAGCGAAACAGATAAAGAAAATCATCAAAGATCCATTATTACTATATATGACTATTCTTAATGATTGGCCAAGGTTTATTATTTTCTTTATCTAATTTAGCATATTTCGAATTTATTTAGAATATTCTACTAATTATTTTCTTCTTTTAACTGAAAAATTTACTGAAAAAAGTACTTGATCCTTATGCTGCTGCAACATCATCATCTCAAATTCAACAAAAGAGAAAATACAATAATGATGTATAGTATATGATACTGAGATCGAAGCAGAAGTTAAAACTACAGAAGAATATGTAACTGAAACTGAGGAATATACTGAAGTCAGAAGGGGGGTTTTATTCGCTGCTGAAGAAAGTGAAGATGATCCCATAATAAACAATAGTGGATGATGAATTTTTGGACGATTTGGATGATTTAAGTCAATTTTAATGATTATTTTTACATTTTTTTGGTGATTTGGAGTGGAAATGAGTCGATTTATTATTATCTTTACATTTTTTTCAGGTGATTTGAGTCAATTTTAATAATTATCTTTACGTTTTTTTTTCAGGTGATTTGAGATGGAAATAGGTCAATTTTTTATTATTATCTTTACGTTTTTTCAGGTGATTTGGATTGATTTTAATAATTATCTTTACGTTTTTTTAGGTGATTTGGGGTGGAAATAGATCGATTTTAATAATTATCTTTACGTTTTTTGGGTGATTTTGGGTGGGAACAGGTCAATTTTAATAATTATCTTTACATTTTTTTCAGATGATTTGGGGTGGGAACAGGTCTATTTTAATAATATCTTTACGTTTTTTTTCAGACAATTTGGGTGGAAATGAGTCGATTTTATTATTATCTTTACATTTTTTCAGGTGATTTGGATCAATTTTAATAATTATTTTTACGTTTTTTTTGGGTGATTTGGGGTGGAAATGGATCAATTTTAATAATTATCTTTATATTTTTTTGGATAATTTGGGGTGGGAACAAGTCAATTTTTTATTATTATCTTTACATTTTTTCAGGTGATTTGGGTCAATTTTAATAATTATCTTTACATTTTTTTTCAGGTGATTTGAGGTGGGAATAGGTCAATTTTTTATTATTATCTTTACGTTTTTTCAGGTGATTTGGGTCAATTTTAATAATTATCTTTGCGTTTTTTTTAGGTGATTTGAGATGGGAATGGGTCGATTTTTTATTATTATCTTTACATTTTTTCAGATGATTTGGGTTGATTTTAATAATTATTTTTACGTTTTTTTTCAGGTAATTTGAGGTGAGAATAGGTCGATTTTTTATTATTATCTTTACGTTTTTCAGGTGATTTGGGTTGATTTTAATAATTATCTTTATGTTTTTTTCGGGTGATTTGGGGTGGGAACAGGTCGATTTTATTAATTACCTTTATTCAGGTAATTTTGGATTGATTTTTCTATTTTTTACATTTTATATTTATTATTTTTACATTTTTGGGGTGATTTCAGAAGGAATGGATCATATTTTTATCATATATTATTTATTTATCTATATTTAGGATGATTTAAGGGAATTTTGGGAGGAAATGTATTATTTTATTATTTTATTATTCTATTTTAATAGGAAATTAATCAGTAAGTTTTAGTGATATTATATTTTATATTTTTACAAATTTATATTAAGTTTTTATTATTAATAAAATTTCAATGTTTAATAAATTTAATAAATAAAATATATCGATTATTGATACTGAATTGCTTATCTGATTGGTATCGATTAACGTTTGAATTGTTACTGAACTAATACTGAATTAAGACTAATTTTAAGCTAATTTATGGTTGAATTGCTTGTCTAATTGGAGTCAATCAGTATCGATCAGCGTCTAAATTATTACTGAATTGAGACCAATTATAGGCTGATTTATGGTTATTTAAGTTCTGAATTGATGCCAAATGGCTATATCTGATTGAATTGATCAGTGTCTATCAGCATCTGAATTATTACCAAATTAAGGCCAGTTTTAGGCTGATTTATGGTTGAATTTAAGTTCTGAATGGCCATATCTGATTGGGATTGATCAGCGTCTATCAGCACCTATTTGTGCTAATCGAAAAATATGGCAAATTGGTTATAAATAGTATTAAAATTAGCCTAAAATCAGCCATCTGATTTTTAGCCAATTTGGACTATTTTGACTAGTGTAATGAATATTTATTGAAATTCATAAAAATTTAAACATAAATATTTTATTATATTGCAAAAAATTTGATTAAGCTTAATTAATAATTTATTTTATTATTATTTTTAATTATTTGTTCTAATCTTGACTTTTAATTAAATTAATAAAATTTCTGGTTTAATTTCTTTTCACTCTTTTTGAATTATATCTTAAAAAACATTTATAGTAATTGATTTTTTTACCACTAGTTTATTAACCTACCTCTCTACACACCTTTTTAATATATTCTATAAATTCTTTATAGTTTTAAGATCAGAATTGTATGATGATCATTTTAACTGCTTTAGACAATAATCTGAAAGAAATTTCTTAGTATATTTAGCTGTATGTTTCAGATCATTATTCTACTAAAACTTCCAATAATAATCTATAATAAAATTTGCATTACCAAAAAGATATTTATCAAAAAATTTTCTATATAGTGCATTATCTATATTTCAGTAAAAAGAAAAAATCCAATTTGATCTTTTTCTAAAAAAAATATCTCACACATAGACTTTGTAAAGATGTTTGACTATGAGTTTTTATGGTAGTTGTATATTAGCTTTATAAAACAATTTTTGAATATTTCTAAATATCTGAAGGATAGTTTTATCAGAAAAGATAACTTAATTCCAGTTTTATTTCAATATTTCATGATAAATTTTATATGGCATTATTTATGAACGTCTTTAAATAAAAGAATTATTTTTGGGATTGTATTAACATGATTAGGATTTTAAAGTTCATTAAACACAGTTTTTTGCTTATATTAAGATTAGAATATTTTTTATTTAAATATTTGCCAGCTCAGAATATGTAAAGAACTTGTTTGCTAAAATAAGTTTTCTAAAATGATGATATTTTTAGAAAAAAGTTGTTTTGGCCTTTCTAGATAAAATAAAGACTCTAAATAAATATTTATTTGAGATTTTTTATGTAATTATATATTGCAGAGAGTGGAATAAAGGTTAAAGAGTGTTAAGTTTTAGAATTATAGGTACTATTTTTTCATAATATGACTACCATTATGTAATATTGTGTAAAAATTCTGTAAACCATATTGTTATGAGTAAAAAATTATCAGAATATACTGTATAAGTATATTTACTATGTAACTAAACAAATAAATTTATTTGCTAAACAGATATATATAGCAGGAATTATTAAAGATTTTTACTATACAATTTTTATTTTGTTATTTTTTTACATATTATAAATATTATTTCTAATATATTGCTTATTAATATTTTTATATATTTTAATTTATTAGTTAAAAACTATTAAAATTTATTATTATTAAATCTAAATATAATAAATAAAAAAGTCAAAAATAAAAATTTATAGGTTTAACAAATATTTTTATTTTAATAAAAAGTTCTTTATTTAAAATAATAATAAAAATTTAAAAATTGATAAAGATTTATCTTATAAATATAATTTAAATAAACAATAAATACTAAATATTTGATTAAATAAATAATTAATATTTTATATAATAAATTTAAATTTTATCTTAATAATAAATGTTTTCTTTTAATCTTCAACAATATAATTTTCTAATTTATCATTATTTTTGATAAGAAATATTTCTTCATTTTCTTTATCTTGATAATCTTCAATAATTAAATTTTCTAATTCATCATTATTTTTAACAAGAAATACATTTTCTTTTTCATTTTCATTATCTTGATAATCTTCAATGACATAATTTTCTAGTTCATTATTATTTTTAATAAGAAAAATATTTTCTTTTTCATTTTCATTATCTTGATAATCTTCAATAACATAATTTTCTAGTTCATCATTATTTTTAATAAGAAATACATTTTCTTTTTCATTTTCATTATCTTGATAATCTTTAATGACATAATTTTCTAATTTATCATTATTTTTAATAAGAAATACATTTTCTTTTTTATTTTCATTATCTTGATAATCTTTAATAGTATAATTTTCTTGAAAAAAAGAATCTTTAATAATACTAATACTTTGAGAATA